TGAGGATATCCATAAGGAAAATACATTATTCAATGCTTCCTTATTATGAAATACTTTATCTGATTCACAAGTATCAGTTAATAACAAGGTTTCCATTCCTTTTTCAGTACTATTTGTCGTCAAATAATAATAAACATGACACGTATCATCTCTACTATATATAGTCTTGACATGATGTTGAAATAATTTCACATATCCATTTCCATCTTTTCTTTTTATAGATAATTCACAAACACTTCCTTGTGAATGATCTAATTTTACAGATGCCCAACTTGTAAATTTAACATTTTCATCCTTAAATAATTGTTTATAATTTTTCAATGTTTTTAAATTTTCATCTTCATCATCAATATAAAGATTCATCAGAGTGGAATGATTATTTGATATCAATTCATTATTTAATATTTGTGCATTTAAATGAAGTATACATCCATTAATAAATTGCATGGTGGATGGTTTTGTAGATTTTTCACTTAAATAATTTTTAATTAAATTTTTAAAGAGGAGAAATAGTTGAAATTGATATTTGCATTGATATTGTAAATGACTATTATATCCAATGTAGAGTTCATTGGTAAAAGCTGAATGAACAAGTCTAAATGATAATTGATCACTATTTGGTAAATACATGAAAATATTATGTAATATAATAGTATTTAACCATTTTGTAAAATGATAATTAGAATGTTGAATAATTAATACATTAGTATTGATAGATTGTGTTGAACGTTTAGAATCATTCAATTTTCTCTTCTTTCTATGGCGTTGACTAACTTTGTTTGCATAATAATTCAAATCTTTTTCTTCATCTTCATCTTCATCGGAATCTTCCTCATCTTCCTCATCGTCAGAATTTATACGACCTTTCTTTTCCAAATCATCATCTTCATCATCGGAATCCTCTTCTTCATCTTCATCATCCTCATCCTCATAATAATCTGAATCATCATCTTCATAAGTATACAATTCCTTTCCATGTAATAATGCATTTCTAATTTTTTGAGCATCATCATCATCCCAATCCTCATATTCACTATTTTCATAATAGTGTTCGTCTGCATCAAGTAATATGCTCTCTAAACTTGATTCTTGCTCTTTTAATTCCTTTTCCCATGATTTAATTTGTTCCAAGTTAACTTGATGGGATGGTGAATGTTCTGTTGTTTTGAAATGATCATACCAACAGGAATTGCCATATCGACAACAACCTTGCAACCAATATCTACAAACAACCATTTTTTTTTAAAATTTGTAAAATGGTAATTATTCCATCTTCTTATGGAAATCTAATTTATTGAGGCATAAAGAGAATGGTTGTGGTTCATAGTGTTAGAAAATGAAGTGTTATGATTTAATATTAAGTATTTAAGAAATTGAATGGATATGGCCATATCACGATGAATGCACCTCATCAAGTTCGACTTGAGAGTGTTGAATTCCGATTGAATATGAGGAATGGACTTGTTTCCGATTGTAAATTACAAAATAAAGTGAAAATATTCCGATATGCTTAATAAGCGACCTCAATTCCGAGTTGTTAAAAATTTTCCATGCTCAAAAAATTATTCGAAATGTCTGGTAATAACAAGAATACTGGAAAGACACAAAGGAAACAACACGCTGTATCATCTCCATCTCATCCTAA